AGTGTTGCAGACGAGTCAGAGTGTTAGAGGCAAACTGCAGCAATGTGCAAGTGAACTCTCACGATTTCGTGTAGGGCAGATAGTGTGGAGAGAATACTGCAGCAAACTTTCAACATGCATAAAAAAATCTTAACAACACTAAACCATTAATGATACAGGAAGCATCATTATATTTCATTGGGACAACATTTTTTGTTAGCATGACAGGGATTCGTTTGACAAACAGCGGACAAGATGTGTGATTTAAGTTTTGACTCCATGTTCAACAGGCTTTACACAAACTACACCACAGTCTCATAGCTTTAATGGCACGACCACCAAGCTCCTGCACTCAGTCCGATGATGCTGAATAGCAAACATTTGTTTGGACATATCAAACATATAACTAAAACTTTGGGTATATTGCTACACATTTTTTGTCTAAAGCTCACAACCAAAAACCTGCTGACTTCATGATGAGTGAACCATTAAAGTACTTACTGGTTTCAGGGCTTGATCCAGTATTTGAGGTAATAAATTTTTAGCCAGGAAATATTGCTAATTCTCTATGTGAAATAAAAATTATATATATATATATATATATATATATATATATATATTTATAACTTACATGATTAAGTTATGTTGGCCCATAGCCTATCAGTCCATAAATTTTACATGGTGTACTACAGAGGAGAGATAGTTGGGCATTAACCTATAAGTTGTGTTATAAAAATGAAATTCTACATTTCAGAACTGGAGGACATATTCAACTAAATCACACCAGGACCACATCCATCTTGGAGCTCTGCCTTTGCTTCATTGTAAACCCCCCCAAATCTTTTTCTTGACTCTTTTGCTTAGTTGTTATGGTAACAAACTGACAGAAAAGGCAGTGACTTATTTGGTAGTTTATGGTATTATAGAATTCTTCCTTTTGCCTTATGCTTATGCTCTTTAAAAATGAATTTATAACAGGTTACAAGCCTGTCTGACAGCAAATAAACCTCTGAACATCCACCTCAGTACTACGAAGCAGGACTTTCTTTTGTCCAGGTAACTTTAGGGAACCCTGGGTTTTCTGGTTCACTTCTTTCCAGGGTGGTAACTTATTCTGCGACCATAACCTATTCCAAAGCAGGTTATGTATGTAGGGATGTTAAGAGGTTAAAATCTACACTGAAATGTGTGTATTCAACATATAAGAGTAGAAACAATTTAAGGTTTCACGTAAACATTGCCACTAAAATTTTAGCTACTGACATAATGATATTGATAACATCAGTGTCAATTAGAAACTTATGAAAAGGTTAGCTTTATGGAAATAAATAAATCACAAATACTTTTGCTAACATTCAATTAAATTTTTTTTTACATATTTGTGAGATATATATTATGTAATTGTTTTTGGAGAGTCAAGCATACCAGTGATTGTTTGAATTTGAAAGGACCAAGACACACCTGGCAGATAACTAAAGACAGTACCAGTAACATATATAAGTAAGATCTATATTAATGCTTAAGGGTGTGTGTGGATAATGGATAACACTTTGTACCTTTTCAGGGGATGTAATACGATTAACCTTCGAGGCTGACCAAAACTTTTTAAGCAAATACTTTCTACTGGCTCTTTATTTTTCAGTCTGAGGATTAGTTCAGCATCTTAGTCATCAACCAAAACACTGAATTTCATCACCTCTTCCTGTGTGATAATTAGACCACACACCAAAGTTAATCCTGCATATTGAGGTCGATGTACACTGAGGCTGACTTTGCATGAAGTTAAATCACAATCATTGTGTTCTTCATTTACTCTCCAACTGATGCCAGATGGGTCACACATCTATTAAGCACCCAACAGCAGGGGAATGTGAGGATTTAAAGAGGAGTTTGATGGGTCATAAAAGTGTAAATATCTTCAAAGAAGTACCTTGAAAAAAATGAAAAGCAAACCAGAGAAAAGGAAAAGAATCAACTCATAACAAAGTGGCAGATTTTTTGTGAAAACACATTTACACAAAGTGGAGACACTGGAGTGAATACTGACGATGGACACTCATTGCTCAGGCATTAAAGTCTTTTTTGTCATTTTAAATGATGAAAGAATATTTATGAACACTTCAGCCAAGTCTGTCTTTTTTTTCTATTATCCATGTGATAATTAGGCAGATTTCCATTTGAGGATCTTATATGGTGGCATTCAAGGTCAAAGTTTCCCTTCATCCACTGGATGGCTTATAAATTTTGGACTTTTAACTGTGTACATGCAGCTATTCCTACTAATAAAAACTCCTCCCATGGCCATTAATACTACACCAAAGTAACTAAGTAATAGAAACAATAATATGAGAGAAAGGTTTGAAATTTTTTACAGTAGATAGTGAAAAGTTTTTCAATTTCAGGCTGTTTTTTAAAAGGCCATTTGACTTCAGCAACACAGGTTTAGAGACAGGTCTGTGACCCTCCTACCACCAGTTGCTAGGTAAAAATGTGGATTCCCTCAATGGTTGGCAAGTGGGTGCTGACAGTCACGAGGGGAAATTAGTAGCAAAGCGATATACAGTGATTGCTTTGGTCACTAGCAGATTGCAGTGGTCACCTGCTTTTTGTT